AGAAGAGAAGAGAAGAGAAGAGAAGAGAGAACATGAAGGCTGCTCCAGTTATTTGCAATGAGGATTACAAGAGAAGGATCAACAAGCAATAGATGAAGTTATTCATAGAAAGAGCTTGACAGAAAAACATCAAGATATAAGTAGGTGCTGAAAATGAGGTGAGGTACTGTCAGCACGTTGAAGATAGCAGAACAAGAACAAGTAAAGGCTGTTCCTTGCCTCCAGCTCCCAGCACCTTGCTGCTCAGTCACACTGTAACGCTCACATGGCAAGACTGCCAGCCGCTTACTGACCGAAGAACATGCTTTGGGTGGTCTCTGCTCCATCACGTATTGCACCGTTCAACTGCAGATTCTTAACAGTCATCTTGAAAAAGCTGATAGAGGCAGGACATTGTGTATGCTTATGTAGAAAGGTACCACACCCAAGGAGGGGAGTGGCGTTTATGCAATGCCAATGGAACAGCACAGTTCTCTCTAACAGGCTGCGGCATCTTCCATGCACAAGCTTTTGGAAAGGAGCTAATAAGAATCCCACAACGGCTCTACAGACACTAAGGATAAAGAAGTACTGGGACTAAAGACATCGTACCCAGCGATTTCCTCCTTTTAGCACCTTCCTTCCCTGTTCATCACTGCATGGCCAATACCTCTTGCCTGTTGTCCTGGGTTTGAGCTAAAGAGGACTGGGTTTTAGCTCAAACCCAGGACACCTGTGAAGTCAGAAGGGCCAAATGCTGTTGTTGGAGAGTGCAAGCAGAAACTCCACCCTTTGGTTCAAGCCACCAAAAGAGTTCTCACGGAAATGCTCCAACAACTTAGCGTTACCAGAAGACAATCACTTGAACTTATTTTATCTAACCTCAAAGCAATTGTACATTTAAGCCTTCACTAGAGACAAAATTTAATTATTACCAGTTGTATTTAAGGCATTTACTAGACTACCAGTGTAGGGTGAATAAGAATGGAAAAGACCAATGAGTGAAAATGAGCAGATAAGAAATTTCTCAGCAAGCTGAACAGTTTGTCTCAGTTGTCGTCACCAGTAATAAGGAAAAAGCTGCATTTCATACATAAGCAGGAGAGGAAAAAAAATGGAATGTTAGTAATTGTGACAGGAAAAGAATAATAGGCAGACACTTTATCCAGCAAAAGCTTTAATGTGAAAGAACAATCATAGGAAAAGTGCAGGAAGGCACATTTCTATGAAACTGCATTTCCACAGAAGAAAAGAAACTCAAATGCAACTCTTCTGCAATACAGGCTCACCCTTTCATGCCACAGGGAACTTTTATGGGGGAGCCCTCTATGCAGTTCCCAAGTGCCAGCAGGGTATCTGGTTCAGGGATTCTTGCTGTGCTGCAGGCAGCAACTGAGAAGATATGGGAAAGGAAAAGTGTACAACTAGCACACATTTTATCTACTCAAGACTTGTGTGTGTGTGTGTGTGTGTGTGTGTGTGTGTGTGTCTGTGCCAACGGTTTCACAGCAATTACAAGGCAAAAAAACCAAAAGAACTGAAACACTGTTTTAGAGAAAGAGGCATAGCAACTCTGAGAGATTTGTATAAACAAGAGGACAAGCAAGAGTAAAAATGGGGGGGAATATATGGTTCACCCTTGTGTTGCCCTGGTGCATTCAGAGCTAAGATGCTCTTGTCATTTTTGAGTATCTGGTCTTCATCTCTTACCCCATGCTGGTAGCTCTCCCTCTGAAGTGGTAAAGGCCCTCCCTGTGAAAGTCTCCATCCTGTTCAAGCACATGCTCCTCTACCTCCATTAATTAGAGTTTGAAAGAGAAGAGAGGATGTCTCATTTGACATCCTGCATTCCCCTTTAAAATAGAGGGCTCCATTACAAGTCCTGCTCTCCTGCACACAGATGAATCCAAATAAGAATGCCTTCCTCCCAGAAGATCCAACAGAAGCACAAAACCTAAGACATATTACATTACGACATAATTTTTCTGTCACAGAAAAGAAGTCTGCAGAAGAACCGCTATACCAAAAGAACCAGATGGGAAAGGTCCGATTGCTGCAGTGATTTCTCTAAGACCATGGGTGAATTTGAATGGATACAGACTAAATTTTTTAAATAAACTTTTCATCTCACAGCAGTAATTTCAGTGGCATAAACTGAAGGGTGGAGTTCTGTCTCGTAGGCAGCAGCAAGAACATCACGCCAAGTTTCACAGGTGACGGACGTTAACCACAAACAACAAATGATGTAAAATGGGCACTGGGATTGTCCTGAGTTGCATGTAAGACAAACAAACTGTCAGTGGGTAAAAATACCACAAAGCAGTGGAGTAAATCTACACCATGGCACAACAAAACTTCTTACTGCACAGTAGTTCCACATCAACATCAGGATTTCACATTGCATTGCTGTTAAGTAACTCTGAATATACTATAATACAGAATACCAAATCCAGTTGACATGATGAAAAAATGAGGAAAAATAAATAATAGATCTATTAAAAATTAAACAGATGTAAACCACCAAATGTGTTATCAATACATACAGATTTGCATCAGCCCAGTATAGCTGCTGTTCTTCATAGTCCAGGGTAAGTCCGTTTGGCCAGACCAAATTGGTGCTCACAATAGGTGTTCTGAAGTTTCCTCCAAGTGTAGCTCTTTCTATCTTTGCATTTGAACTCCAGTCAGTCCAGTACATATACCTGTCAACAACATGATTGCAAGGTTATATTTTATGCAAATAAAGTTCACAAAGCTCTTATGTGCTCCATGGTATTTCCATCCTGGTGCCCGTCACTGAAGTGTGCAGTGAAAAAAGTAACTTCTTCCTGCATTATGAACCACACTGACAAGGGTATCTTCTAGCAGGGATCACTGGGGTCCACTGAAGTGAACTTCAGAAAGGTTTTTCCACCTCCTATGAGAATCCAGTAAAGTCAATTAATCTCTTTCTAATCTTTTTCACGTGAAATACAGCGTAATTAGCAATGAAATTAGAAATACAGTATAACACAGTAAAGGCCCCAGCCTCTAAGGAAATGTTTTGACACTGAAACAAGAATCCTTCTGAGGTACTCATGAAATACAACAGAAGAAGGAAAAGATTATTTAAGATTCTAAACAGATATCTTTTGTCAGTGCCACCTGACTATCATAATATGATATTCTTGAAATCCTTTTTTCAATAGCCTTTGTTTTTCTGCCTCACACAGCAAACGGAGGACACTTAGTTGTTTGATAAATACCTGCTTTGAACATCATTCTCATTTATTTACCCCCAGCACTTGGTTCGCACCCTCATTAAGTGGAGCCTCATGCACTGTACATTCACACATGTTCTAAAAATCTCAAAAGAAAATTCAAATCTTTGAGGCTGAGATCAGCTTAAAAAATTTAAATCTAAAGAATTTGATCTAGGATGGTTATGCACAGCTGGAACTTAGGGCTCAGAACAGGAAGCATCTGGCAGCCTTCATCAAAGTCTAAATTGTAGTTCCACCGGCAGCCAAAGCATACAAAGTGCAACACATACCCTCTGCAGGGATCTAATACGATGGCTCTTGGTCGTGGAACTCGGGCAATCACTGTGCGGTTAGATCCATCCACAGCCATTGAGCTGATTGTCTGGTTGAGGTAGTCGCTGTAGTAAACTCTGTTGTTGATCCAGTCAAAGGCTATGCCATCGGGAGTCCCCAGGTCTTAGACACATGCAAGCAAACACACGTGAGTTCAGCACAGTTTCCTGAGAAATTGCAATACTCTTCACCTATTACAATGTGGCAACACCAAAGATCTCTTTGAAATGCCATTAGTGTCAATGCAAATTTGTCTATTTAAAAATCTGAAGAGCTAATACTCAGGCAGTCCTGTGTACGCAGTAGGTTTAGAAAGACCTTTTCCTCACACAGACCTAAGTTCTGCTTGTTATTCTCCAACTAGCAGGAATCAGCCCTCACTCCATAATAGGAATTTACTATATATAATTTTAATTAATTTCACATAATTATGCATTTATAATAATATTTAACTACCTTTATATTTCCTTTTTACTGTGAGCAAGATGAAATAAGGACCTCAGAAGAGGAAAAAAACTGAGAAGATTCAAAAACAGAGCATATCATCAGGTATCTTGACTAAACAGTCTACCTTGACAATTAGCTTAAAAATACCCACTGAGCTAGTGCTAGGTGCTGCAGTACATTTTTTTCAATATCTAACTATTTTGTATCACATATCGTGCACTTACCAGACGCAACTACTGTTGGAGAGCCAATTCCTGAGGAAATACTAACATAACTGATTCTTCCTGTTCCTGAAGGATAACTCTGTGTAAAATATATTCGGTTGTTTATGCTGTCAAAATCCAGCGCCACTGCAGTTCTTAACACGTTGACTGTGCGGAAGGGAGGACTGTGATTTTCAGGGTCTAGGTGGATACTTCTGAGGGCATTCTCAAGAGCAAAAATCAGGTAATCATCAGTTGAAATGGAACATCTCTTTCCATCGCTGCCCAGTGTTCCAAAGGCACAACCACATTGGGGGGTCTGCGTGTCAGGCAGGGCAAAACACAGATGAGAACAGCCTCCATTGTTGTCCAAACACGGATTGTTGTTGACATCAAGGGGCGAACGCGACTGGAACTGACTGTCATAAATGGTAACATCTCTTAGCCAATTAATGTTGTCTCGTATTACTGTTGGCTGATCAGTATTACCAGGCTCCTTGCTGGCTTGGAAGACCTTTTTCAGGTTCCGATCTACCCAGATCATAGAATTTCCAAAGACGGTGATACCATACGGAGTTGGATAGCGACTGCCATAACGCACAATTTCAACGTCACCACCATCAGGCTGAATTCTTGCAATCATATCTAAGGAATCATCCACCCAGTAAATGTAGCCATTGCTGTGATCTATGGCCAACCCACGAGGTGTGACAATGCCCTCAGACACAAGAACTGTTCTGTTGGTGCAGTCAAGAAAGGCACGTTCAATCTTCGGATTCTGCCCATAATCTGCCCAGAACAGATACCTGTTTTTGGGGTCAACTACTATGTGCCTTGGCATATCTATGGTAGTTTTAAGCAGAACACGGCGGTAAGTTGTGTTTAAACGCAAAACTTCTATAAAAGTCTCTGTCAGGAATGCATTTGTAAAATAAAGATTTCCTGTAGTTAAAGAAGAATTAAAAAAAAAAGGCAGAAAAACAAATCAGAAAGTTAGTACATAGTATCTACAACTAAGAAACATAAACTGATAAAATACTAAATCATAAAATGAATATCCACAAACATGTCAGTAGCTGGATGCATTAAATACTTAACTACACTTTGAAGAATGAGAAAGGAGACATCCAAGCTTACAGCAGTCACTTAATTTCTAAATTCTCACGGATTGTCATGGTGAAAATCAGTGGTATAATATCAGAAGTGCATTGACTACAGTGGTTCTTTAGGTTTACTTTTTTTTCCCCTTAAAAATCTAAGCCTTTGTTCTGCCCTTCCATAATCTTATCTCTTTATGTTTTACATTACACAACTACAAAATCCATGTAGTGGCACAGCACTTTACACAGTAACTAAATTAAGTGTATATGCCAAAGGATTACTCTAAAACTCATCCCAACAAGCTTATCCATCAACAGAAGAACTTTCGCAAAACACACACAACTATATATATATATATAACATGCATATTTACAAAATAAAGGTATTAATGGCAATGGTCAGTTACTTAGAGTTGATGAATACTTAGGAGTTAGTATTTCAATGCCTAATATATTTGAATAGGAACAGGAAGTTCCAGCAGGGAAATTAAAGCTCAAAGACAAAGTATTTCTCTTGGGGTTTTTTTTGTTTTCATTATAATTTATAGGATTTGTACACAGCAATCTGATGAAGGGTCCTTCTTTCTTATTATCAATGTCATCAGACAACTTCTGTGCACTATTTTCTGCTATATGTTTTTCACTATGGTAGTAAAGTACAGTAGTACACTGGATAACAGCTACTTATGAATGCAGAGGTAAGAAGAGAGACCTACAACAAATATGTAAGCATCATGAGAGAAAAGGCTCTAAACACCTGCTCTGATAATTCTTCATTTTTACACACATCTAAAAACACAAGAGCTGTTCATTACTTCCTCTTGATTTAAAATCAGTCCATAGACACACAAGAATCAGAGGGCTTCCATTCAAAAAGTTCCAGGAGGATTCATTTATGTTTGTCTAAAAATTTCAAAAATCCATAAAGAAAAACATTCTTCTAAATCCAGCTATGCTTACCTGCTACCCAGTCAATTGCAATGCCACGGATCCCATTTCGTCCTATTCCATTTGTTACAACATTTCTAAAATAAGAACCATCAGGTTTAATTTTACGTATTGCATTCTGAGAGGAAATTGTGCTACTGAAGTCACACCAGTAAATGAAACCAGAGGGCATGTGAACATCCACATGAAGTGCATTTCGTCCTGAAATATTGTGAAAAGTAATAATTTATTATCTTTGACACAAAGTAACTTATTTAAAACACATGCTATGGCAGCAAGAAAAGTCAAAATACTAGGCATCATAAGATTTTTTTTCCTAATATAGAATTCACATACCTCTTCCTGCCAGTGGTACCATGGCTTCGGAGTGATCAGATGTCTCTAAACTAAATCCCTTAATTGCAGAAAGCATAGAAACAACTACAAATGAACTGTAAGGGGAACAAGTTCTGTTGTCAGGATTTAGCTGAAAGCCAGTAGCACAGGCACAGGAGAATAATCCACCAGGTACAGGAAGGCAGAGCTGCTGACAAACTCCCATATTATTACTGCAGCCATTTGAGGAACCAGCAGAATCTGTGAAAGACACACATGGCGAGGCATAAAATCGTGAACTGCATCATCACCAACTCCCATGGATATATAACCAAATCCATAGACTTGCATTATATACTTGTATTAACAACCAGCTGACAAAAATAAAAATCTTAATCACTGCACATTTTAGCACATAAGTGTTACAAATGCATTTGCTGGTTTCTTGTCACCTAAGATCAACGGGGCCAAGAACGAGATGAAGCAGATAAATAAACTTGAAGCCAAAGGAACAAAATGTGTTATTTAGTCAATATTACACTGAGAATATTTTAGTAAAACTACACATGCCAATAGATACCTTAACTGGATGGTGGAACATCTCTGTACCCAAACCAGGTAAAATGCTTCTCACACTTTGCCTGAAAGTCTAATCAAAACGTTTCCTTTGAAAGCACACATTTTGTCTCTGAGGGAAGTTTGAGTTTTCACAAGCTGGATATCCTGAAATACCTCTTAGCAAATACTCACTGTCTCTGTAATATACACGTAGGCACTTCAGTCTTGGGACATTATCTCTCAGCACTATTTTGTTTGCTCCAGTGGACTTGTCAACTCGTTCAATAACTTCATAATCTCGATCAGTATAGTACAGAAAGGTATCATAAACAGCAATTCCCCATGGGTGAGAAAGATGAACCACCAGGGTCACACGATTTGTACCATCCACATTGCCTTTCTCAATCTAAAAAATCAGTTAAAGCTTAATATTATTTTTGCTATAATAATAAGTTCAATGTTACAACACAAAATTAAAATGCCACACAGGCTACTAAAATCTCTTCATACGTGGGATCTTTATGTACAAGGAAGGAAAGGGTCAGCAGGATGTCAATAGTTATTTCTGGTTTTTCATCCTAATTCATCATATATTTTTAATGAAAATTGCTAACAACAGTTATTGAGATTTTGCTCAGTCCTGCAACTCCCAGTTACTCCCTAAGTAAACTAAAGCAACTAAATTACTCGTGTGAACCACAGAGGCAGAGATAGATGAACAGGTAAAAAAAATATCATCTCCTACCACTCCAGTGCTTGTGACAGCCCAGTACAATTTTTGTTCCTTAATGTCAATGGTAATGAACTCCACATGGTCAAGGTTGCCGGTGAAGAGGGTTTGTATGCCTGATCCATCCATGTTCGCACTGGCAATCTTTGCTTGAACTCCACTGTCAGTTCCCTGGTCTGTCCAGTACAGCTTCCTGTAACACACATGATCACATCTGTTAGCAAAACTGATAGCAGAGATTAACAGATCACAACCACTCGAGTATATGCTTAAATCTCTCTTCTTCATCAGCCAATACTTCAGCACATACCAAACAGAGATCACTTTGAAACAGACCAGAATGATAAAAATGCTTGGTCTGTTGGGAAAAAAAAAAAAAAAGAGAGAAATGCATGGTTCTCTTGAAAAAAGAGAACAATGCCTGCTAAATAATTTTCAGAAATCCATAACCTCATCTCTATCATCCCACAATATTGTCAGCAGGTAAACTTAGCAGAGCGTTAGGACTACAATAAGAAAGCAGGGAAATAATAATTCTGTTTCAGACAGTTGCAAGGTTTTAGCAATGAGTTTGGTTCCAATCTGGAATTAAAACTACAATTTCAAAAAAATCTATATGGAATGAAATTGCATTATTTGGCTCTGGGGAATATATGCACCACTCTGGCCTCAGTTGCTGAAGAGCATGTAGCAGCCAGACTCACAGTTAGGGACACAAAAAGCCAGGCATCAATTCCTCTGAAAGCCTGCCAAGTCATGAGCTGAACTGGCTCATTACGAATATGGGCCTATGACCATAACTACCTTGTGGGGAAAAAAAATAAAAGCACATCATATTGCAATTTTGAATATCCTGTTCGAAAAAAGCAAGTTATAGCTCTTCTTGGGAGGAAACAGTAAACTTGTATTTAGCGCTATACTATTTAACATGTGACATTCTTCTGATGTAGTGTGTCTTTCTGCTCTAGATAGGCCTCAAAATTGACAATATAAGAAATTATAAAGACTTCATAGTTCTCTTTACTTGGGGTTCCCATTTTTCAGAACTTTTTTTTCTTCCACAATCGGAATATTCTGAGATCCTTTTTAGTTAAAAAAAATTACCATATAAATAAGCATATAGTAAATTAATGAGAACGAACAGCTATGCAGCAAGTTATGAAGCCATGCAATTATCTTCTGTGGCTTAAACAGAGTAAATAAGTTCTGTACAAATATGAAAAATACAAAACCATGTCAAATAGAGGATGGAAGCTGAAGACCATAAAAATTAAAAAAAAAATTGAGAATATACTCATGTGGAAAGATAACAGCAATTTTGGAAAATTACCCTCTTGCTGGATCAATTGTCAAACCAATTGGTGTGCCAGCTCCCAGAGAGGTACCGTCATTGGTAATCAGAGTCTTCCTGTACATGACGTCACCGTGCAGCTTCAGGACCTATGGAAATACCAAAATCAGCAGAGCACGTAATATAGACCTTATGACAGATTTTCACTTTAAATGCAGGAAGCCTAAATCCCCAGAGCTGAAATTGCAGAAGACTATTTTAACTAGCATGAAGGAAAAGCACGTTGTTCTGTACTCCAACCATCTCCCTTCTCTAACACACACCCTTTCAATGTGCTGCTTGCAGCTTAGAACCACCCTGTGTTAACAAGCGAGTGTCTAAGTTGGGGTTGTGTCTGGCGGGTTTGGGTAGTGGGGGGCGATAGGGATGGCTTCTGAGAGACGCTTCCAGGGGCTCCCCCAGCTACAAGTCATACCTGCCTCCGGCCAAGGCCGAGCCAATCAGCACTTCTGCAATAAACATATTTAAGTGGGGAAAAGCATTCCTGGCAACTGCTTTTGTTTCAGAGAGGAGGGGGATGTAAGAGGAACAACCGTGCAGACAAACGAGGTCAGCCAGGAAGGGGAGGGAGAGGTGAACTGGAGCAGATTCTGCCGCAGCCTGTGGGGAGGCGGCCCCTGGAGATGAACAGTGGAGCAGAATCCTGCCTGCAGGCTGGGCCGGCACTGCTCCAAAGGCGGCCAGGACTGAGGGAAGCCTGCGCTGGAGCCGTCTGTCACTGGGACAACCATACCCTGCGGAAGGGGCCTGCGCTGGAGCAGTTCGTGAGGAGCTGCAGCTCCTTCCCGTGGGAAGGACTTGTGTTGGAGAAGTTTGGGAAGGACTTGTGGGCGGGACCCCAGGCTGGAGCAAGGGAAGAGGAGTCCTCCCCTGAGGAGAAAGGAGCAGCAGGGACAGTACGTGAGGGACTGACCACAACCCCATTCCCTGTCGCCCTGCGCTGCTGGCAGGGAGGAGGCAGAGAAATGGGGAGCAGAACTGAACCCGGAAAGAAGGGAGGGTTCCAGGGAAGGTACCTTTAAGATCTGGTTGTATTTCTTATTATCCTACTCTGATCTAATTGGTAAATTAGCGGTGGGTGCGTTGTTTAAATTAAGTCATGGGTTGTATTTTCCCCCCAAGTTGACTCTTGTTTTTTCCGCTTGACGATAATTGGTAAGTGAAGCCACCTTGTTCTTAGACTCGACCCTTGAACCTTTTGTTTTGTATTTAGCTGCCAGCTGGGTGGACTTAACTATTTTTATACCTGTGATGCTGTCATGGTTTACTCTTTCAGCTTCCATAATATCTTGAAAGTATTACTGGCTGAACAGGTTGATCAAATGCTTATTTAGGAAGTATCAATTTTATTTGTTTAAATTTGCTGCCTTTTAATTTAATAGCATGTATTTACATTTTGGAACAAGGACATTAATGACTGGGCTTATTCACAGCCATTTCTATATTATATATTGCTTATCCTTTATTTCCTTACACTAAATTGCAACTTTATCCTTCACCTACCATTAGACTGCTAATCACCAGAAAGCTACATAATACGATATCAAAGCATTTGCAAGTGGATCTTACTGCATTTGATGGCAACATTCCCTTATGACACAAGGCACTTCTTTGGGATTATTGATTTGAACTGAGAATAGTAGTAATAATAATAGAAACTCTAGTGATCAGAGAGGTTGTGTGTCAAACACCAGAAACACGCACAAATAAAGTTCTCAGAATATGATGCTTTCGAACTTTTTGACTCTGCTCAAATTTTGATCTATCTCTTCAAGCTTGTAAAGTATTTTTCTACAGGCTGTTTGCATTTTAAAATAAATCTAATTTCAGTTTTTTACTAAAAAAATACATACGTAGCAGTCAAAAATCTACAGTTTTACTTTCCAGTTGTCCCTCTCTAAATAATTACCTCAATTGACTGTGTCCCTGGGTTACTGTAATACAGGTTTGCAGATATCCAGTCCAATGCCAGACCAATAGGAGCACCAATAACAGCTGCTGGAGCAAAAACTGTCCTGTTGGTTCCATCTGACTTCACTCTGTGAATTTCACCCTTGGAAAAAAAGAAAACAGAAGTGAAAAAATGCCAAGAGCAAAAACCACTGTCCTATTCCAACTACATGAGCAGAGCCCACAGTCACCCATTTGTCAGGCCAAAGCTCAAAACCCGACTAAACCCCAGCACTCAGCCTGCAGAGGCACCTGGCATTTCATTGCCAGCTCTCTTCATGGATGTACCAGCCCATGACCTCCTACAGAACTGTTCAACCTGTTACAAAAGTCAGCTGTACCTGCTGGCTGAGATTTGTCAAGAAAATTTTTTTCAGGCTGCATGGAGGATCAAATAGATTCCTGAGTATTTATCTAGCTCCTTGGGCAAAGGTTTGCTTCAGTATGTCTATTTAAATACTTCATGGGAACTAGACATTCTAACTTTAAAAGAATAAATAATTAAACAAAATATAATTCCTTTATGGGTTACTCAGAAAAGGCTTTCAATTGAGTGATTTTTAAAACTTATTTTTACTTGAAACCTGCAAAATGTAAGGGAAATGGGCTGGGAAATAAAAATAAACACAAACATAAATCTCATGTGAATGAAAGGGTAACAAGTTAGTGTGAATTGTTTCTGTAAAATATGTGAATTGTTTCTGTAAAGTGTAACTACAGAAACCTCCTTATCTACCATTATACTTCTCCAATACCTAATCACTGCTTTTCTTCAAAAAAGAACTGCTTTTCAGTTTCCAAGAGTGAACATGCATTGTTAAATCAGCAGTTGCCTAACACATACAGCTCCTAGACTGACAGAATTTATTTTTTTTTGAAGTGTTCACCCTGCAAAAATTGGGGTTTTTTTATGGCAAGTTAGCCTTAGGGAACACAAGTTTACTAGTTCAGTACAAGCATTAAAAATGCTTAGCCAAACAATTATAATAAACCATCAAAAAAAATTTCAAACTATTTTTTAGATCTGTAAGTCTCATATGTGAACTTGGAAATCATTGTGACTTCAACCATTTTCTTCCATTTAAAAAAAAAGATGCCTCTCTACTATGTTCCTAAATTAAAAGTGCTTAGAGTAGATGCATGTATTTTCTTTGTAATGTTATTGTCACTCCAACCCCAAACCCCCTTTCATTCCCTTCAGTTATATTTATCAATAGTCTCACCTGCAACACTAATATATTTCAGTCATAAGCATTATTTTTAAATACAAAGTCTTATTTTAGTGCATATTTTGAACACAAATACTAACTTACCGGATTTTCAACCCAATAAATCATCTGTTCGGAATCATCAAAATCAACATCAACACCATTTTCAACTCCTGCTATTGGAACCATAGCATCATTCGTCTTCTCCTCAGGGTTCAGAGAAATTCCATAAATTATATTATCTCTCACAGCAATAAGGAAAGGTTGTTCAACTGTGAAAACATAAGTAATCTGGAGTTGTTTCTGATTAAAAAAATGGCCTTATGCTATGCTTTCCTTCTTACACCCAAAATTATCCCTGATGCTGAGAATGGTTGAATGTTACCAGTGATGTTTTACAACCACTTACCTGTAAGTCTGTTCTCTCACTAGGAGTAAGACTACAGGTTATTTACTTGTTTTAACATTTAAAGTTTCAGCACTGTGCAATCACAACGCATGCGCAAACAAATTCTGAGGAGGAATTAAATAAGGCAGGATCACTCATTGCTGGCCAAGGGAAGAAGTACATTCATGCCGACGCTCTGGGCAGGTTTTTCACGTCTCTCAGATGGTGAGCCAGCAAGCCAGAGCTCTGAGGGCTCTCCACGACCTGCCTGAGGTGGGTTCTAATACCTGTTGTGCAGGGCTCACAAGCAAGGTACAATGTCACAGCAGGAACTGCTGATCTTTATTAATAAATGCAACTGCAGTACTGTCTTTTTTCTTGTTTATCTCTAAAGGAGTAGATGCACTGCCTTACAGTATATTTACTTTTAGGTAAGCTTGTACCCTTATGATCAAATCTTATTAACAAATGGCATCCGACCAGCTGATCTGAGAAGATGCACTGGAGAGCTGTAGAGTGCGAGTCAGCAATTTCTTTTCTCATCTGCTAGAGAATAGGAGGCAAGAATCTCCTAAACACCAATTCCTCTCCTCCTTTTGCCTTTGGAGAACAGATTCCGGCCTCTCCTCTCCACAGGCACAAGCTACCACTTGACAGTGAACTGGGCTGCTGCTGCACAGAGGGTAGCAGTAACCCATTTCCTCTTTTATAACAGATCAAAGACTTTTCTGATTTGGGAAGACTTTTTGCAACAGGGTAGGTTTAGACTGGACATTAGGAACAAATTTTTCACAGAAAGAGTAGTTACACATTGGAATAGGCTGCCCAGGGAGATGGTTGAGTCACCATCCCTGGATGTGTTTAAAGGTTTTTTAGATGTGGTCTTGGGCACATGGTTTAGGAGTGAACTTTCTAGAGTAGGGTTAATGGTTGGACTCGATGATCCCAAGGGTCTTTTCCAACCTGAATGATTCTATGATTCTATTTCCTTCGCTGGATGCTTAATACATTTATACAAACTTTGCAGTGAAAATTTCGACATGAGAAACCACAAACCACAGCATCATTGTACATCTCAAAAATTAATTCTCCATACTGCTCTCTGGCAGGAGAGGACATAAACCTAGATAACCATTGGTCTCAGCATAAAAATCACATTTTGGCAAATAATTGCCTGAAGGCATATAGCTGTCTGTCAAGTTCTTGAGTTTCTTCTATTTTTTTCCCCTAAGAATGTGGCAAGCCAGTACTCTTGTATAAAATATTTTCAAAGAACAGATAAATTCATCTGAAATTGTTCCAACGCATACAGGACCCTGGAGTCATTATTCCCTTTCTAGCTGTACATCACTACCGAATCCTGTTGAAATACGGATATGTGAACTCTCTAGGCTAAACTGTTTGCACTTCAGAAGTGTGATAGTCTCATTTAAACCAATTATATTTTACAATCTACTTTTGGCTGATTGCTCCCTTTGAGTTTAACACAAATGTACACAGCCTGGTTACTCCTCATTCATATAACGGAGAATAGAGAAAATTGGCTGAGTTACACACATCTAAAATCTGTGTAGCTTCATCAGATAGACATTAATATAAATTTTGCAATTCTTAAACTTAGTACAGGTTTACATAACAAATGATAACCCATATTTAATTCATGTATTGTTCTATTAAGTATGCAAATTTACCATATTGATAAAGATTTTAGTATACACGAATCCTGTGCTTTGTTTCCAAGCCAGCTTGCTACATTACCGTCTTTAATATCAGCTTGAAATGGACTTTAAAGTAAAATAAGTGCAAAGGCAACCTTATAATATTAGCATTCTCCATCTGAAGCTAGAAATCACACAATCCTATAAACAATGCCTTTCCATCAACATGAAGTTTGCAGTATTTAATATTCAAATTAAGTAGGCAGAGACCAGCAATATCATTGTTTTGTACAGACACCGGGCAACCAAATGCATGCAGCTCAGTTTAATCTCTTCTGAAAGTTTGTGCTGGCCTATTAAAGTAAACATTGTCAGCAAGGATAAGGATAATAGAAATTAGAAAAGAAATGGTAAATGCCTATTCCTTTGTAATCAATACCAATAATTAAAAAAATTTACCATGAAAGGAATCAGCATATTTTTAATAACTTTTTCTCATGTGTTGACCTTCAGCAAATACATTATTCTAAAAAAATCCCCAAATCTGTAATGCTTTTTTACATAGTGTTTTAAATGTGTAAATATCATGTAAAAAGAAAATTAAGCCCATATAGTTTAAAAGAACTGCGTTTCACAGAAGGATATTTCTATTTCTCTCTTACACCTTTTATACTGAGCAATTAAGTAATTTATAAAAGGGTAAAAAAACCCTGCACCTAAGAAGACACAGGGAACTTTGCAATATGTGGGAAATAAAGATAAGAACTGTCAACAGCTTGATTCAGTGGCAGAACTGGGTCAACCTCTACACACGCATGTGCTTCATCACTGCCATGTTCCATTTCTTTCATCATAATCCCTCTGTGCGTCTGCACATACTAAAACCAGTACAGATTTATAAAGGAAACCGTCTTTTTTATTTTTAATAGATTAAACAAACTTGCATTTCATCTCAGATTATATACATCAGTAATCTCTTACTGATAAATCTTACCAATTACCTTGCTGCTAATAAAAACGTGAATGCAATACAGCTCTTTAAAGAACACACTGCTGAGTATCAAGCAGGAAAACAGCGAGATGCAGCTTTTAAAATTTAGAGGGTTTTAAAAGAAAAGGATCTTTAATTGACAGAGATTTCTAGTGTCAGCTCTTCCCAAAGATAACGTCTACTTAAATTTCAGTGATTTGACGCTTCCTTATTAGAAGGCTCCAAAGCATATTTTATATCTGTGCAACTAATGGAAAAATTAATAATGAATGCTTCATATGATAAAATGAATGCGGTCAAATTTCTGGTCACAAACTGCCTGCCAGTAATTTGAATTTTTGTGATTTTTTTTTTATAAGGAATTCACTGCATGGATTTTACAAATCATTGATGTTTGTGGACTGTTCAATGAAAGTTCACAGAATCACAGAATCATT